CCCCCAGGGCCTTTTCCGCCGGGCAGCTTTCCAGCCCCTCTGCCCCACGCCTGGAGCGTTGGGTGGGGTTGTGGTGACCCCAGGGCAGGACCCGGCCCTTGGCCTTGTTGACCCTCCCCCAGTTGGCCCCAACCCATGGAACCAACCTACCCAGCTCCCCCTGCAGCCCCTTGCTCCCCCCCAGCAGATCCACACTCCCACCCAATTTGGTGTCATCTACAAATTCGCCGCGGGTGCCCTCGATCCCCACATCCACGTCATTGATATTAAACACAACCATTGGGACACGGAGCCCTGGGGGCCACCGCTTCTGCCTGACCCCAACTGGGTTGACCTCCGTTGACCACCCAGCCCATCCAACCATTTTTTTTTTTTTCAACCCGGCAAAGATTCTGCCCATCCAGGCCATGGGCAACTGGTTCCTCAAGCGGAACGCGGTGGGAAACGGTGTCGTTACTAAAACTCCATGTAGACAACACCCACGGCCTTTCCCTCCTCCGCTACACACATCACCTTGGCCTAGAAGCTCCAGTTGGCCAAGAGGGTCAACCCTTTTGTAAACCCCCGTTGACTGGGCCCCATCTTCTGGTTGGCCCGGACATGGGGCATGATGACACCCAAGATGACCTCCCTCACCTTCCCCCCTGCCGCGGGGCTGACCGATGGGCCTGGCGCTCCCCAAATCTGCCATCTGGCCCTTCTTGGCGTTACGTTTGCCAACCTCCAGTCAAGTGGAGCTTCCCAAGGTTGCCGATCGATGATGGGACTTGGTGAGCGCCTTGCCCCAGCACCCTTGGGTAGACCCCGGCCACTCAAGGATCTACAGGCCCCAAATTTATTCCCTCTAGGCCCAAACTGATCCCTTCAAGGCCCAAAATGGCGCCCCCCTTCCCAACCACTCTCCCCCACGCCTGCAGCGTTGCGCGGGGTCGTTCTCGCCGTCGTTCGCTCTCTGTTTTTATAGAGAAAGGCCAAAAAAACCCAGATTCTAATGTTAATTTGTTTTATTTTTTCCTTCTTGTTTCCCTTTCTTTAGAAAAACGTGACAGGAAAATCGGTGAGCAGCACCTCCCCCCCGCAACCCTGGCGCTCGGGGGGGTCCCTGGAGCCGCCCCGTCACCTCCCGGCGAATCCTAACGGGAATTCTTTCCCTTTTTTCCTATTCCCCCC